CTTCAATCCCAGTCCATTTCCATTCTAAGCCACGCCCACTCGGAAGCTCCTCCCTGCTATTGCTCCGCCCCCGCCACCACGAAGCCCCGCCTCCTTCCCACCAAGTCGCCTGCAGGGCTTCCCGCCCCCCCCCCCAAGTCGGCTCTGGGACTGAGGCCCCGAGTACCGGCCTTTTGTGCCCCTCCCCCCTGTCCCTAAAAGGTCCGGCCTGGGGCACCCGGGGCGGGAGCAGGTCAGGCGGGACCCGCAGCCGGGCGAGTCCACCTCGCTCGTTCGCAGCCGGGGTTCTAGAGCCCTGGGGCGGCCCCAGGAGGCCGGGAAAGTCAGTCGGCTTTTCTCTTTAATTACTTACACCTCCCTCTGGGCGCCGACATTTTGGGCAGCGGGGGCAGCGTCACTTCCACCCGGGGGCCCCTCGACTTCCGCCTCGGCTCCCTTCTCCCCCACACTCCTCCTTTCTCCCGCCCCCTTGGCTTCCCCCCACCCCCACCGCCCGCCCTTCCCCGTTTCCCGTCCCATCCCCTAGCACTGGAGGTTGGAGAAGCTAGGATGGCGCCATGTTGGGTGAGGGCAGGGTGGGGGCGGGGCCTAGGGTGACGCCCGGCGCCATACAGACTAACGGCACCAAGCTCCCCGCTCGGCCTCTTCCCCTTCCGTGCCTGCCCTGACGGGTGTTAACGTAAATCACGGCAGACTTGATTCCCTTTTCGCAGCCTCCGAATCCTCCTGGTAGAGTTGCGTCAGGACAAAAGGAAAATCGAAGTTCGGCCACTGTGGTACAGCTCGGAGGAAAGGGCAGGTTCCATCTTGTCCTCCCTCCGGGGGTCTTTGAAGCCTATCGGGCGCCATGTTAATTACGGGAACAAGCAGCCATTTTCCCGCTCCTCATCCTTGCGGTACCTGTCTTTGATTGGGTCACCCTGCTGGGTGCTGTGTGGGAGGAAAGACATTTCTGCGTGGTTGGGGATGTGTTGGTGGGGTTATTTCCAGGTCCGGGCCAGTGAGGGCGACGGGCGCGCAGGCGCGTGTTCTCTGCGAGTACGTGACCGGTCCTTAGGACCCAGCGCGTCCTCTTTGTCTCCCGCGGGCGCGGGCCCGACAGAGAGGGGTGGGGGAGGGAGGGGGCGGGGCCGTCCCCGCGCGCGCCGCCGAGGGGCAGGGCCCCCTGGCCCCCGCCCCCTTCCCACGCGCCGGCCCTGTCGCCCCCGCGCGCGCACACTCGCGAGCCCAGGCGACATGCAAATGAGGTACCCGAGAGGCGGGGGTCCGGGCGGGGAGAGGGGAGCGGAGGGAGGGGAGGCCCGGGGCCGCGCGCTCCTGGAGCGCGCCCCCACACCTGCTTCCGCGCCCGCCGCAGCGCGCGCGCCGACCTCGCGCCCCGCGGAGTCGGCCCGGGCGCGCGCGCGCAGACCCCCTTCCTGGCGGCCCTCGCCATCCTGCGGCCCGCGCGCCGCTCATTGGCCGCCGCCCCCGCAGGGCCCGCCCCGCGCGCTCAGGCCGGCGGGCGCGCGCCTGCACAGGGGTAGCGGAGGGGCAAGGGGCGAGGGCACTGTTCCAGAGACCGGGGTTCTAGTCCAGGCCCTCCCAGCGGAGCGAACCTTATGATCGTGGAAAAGTGGGACCCCTCTCTGGCCTTCAGTCTGTGTGCCCGGTCCAAGGGGGTGCACTGGCACCTGCAGCCCCAGCTGTTAGCGGCGCGTCTGCCTTCCTTCCGCTCCCCTTCAGGATACCCTAGCTGGGTCTCGTGGTCCCAGGCTCCAATGACATGACGGAGGTGGTGGGTCTGGTGGTGGTGGTGGTGGTGGCGATGACGGTAGCTTATTGAGTGCTTACTATTACTAACCAACAACACTGCTGTATCTGTTTGACCCAGGTGGAAACTGGCCCAGAGAAGCAAAGTCACTTGTTCATTAGCGGCAGAGCTGGAGTCTGCCCCAGGTGTAAGGGACTCCATGAGGTCCCCTTGTCTCCTTGGGTCCATGTCTTTTCGCTCCCTGGACCGTTGGGGTCCTTGAGATCTGGTTTGGGTCTTGGTCCTGCTGCTTACTGGCAGAGAGGGCTTGGACAACTGACTTGGCTTTCCTGTGCCTCCGTTTCCCCAGTTGCAAAGTGGGGGTGAGGTACCATTATTCAAAGGGTTGGTGTGAAGCTTAGCCACTCACCAGGATATCTCGAGGCACTGGTGTGCACTGAGCACTCTGTGTGTTATCCTCATGACATGTCTGTGTGAATAGGTGTAAGCATTCGTCCTGTTTTGCAAAAGGCCTGAGGCTCAGAGAGATGAGCACTTTGCCCCAGAGCACACAGAGACTGAGCGGCAGACCTCGGCACTGAACTCAGAACTCTGACTTGGGAGCCCACACTTAACAGTGCTGGCACATTTCTTCATCCATGACTCGGAGCCAAACGTCAGCGGCGACCAGTCCCTTTCTTCTTCTAGTCCTGAACTCCCACTCCTCTCACTCTGCCAATCAGAAGCGGCACAAAACATCTCTGGGCCTCCATGGCTCACGTGTAGTGGGCTCTTTGCTTTGAGGATCGAAATACTGGCCCCTACCCTTAGTTGGACTCTATTCTATTCTCCCATGAAGATTTTTTTTTTTCTTTTGGCTCAAGTTGACCCTGAACTTCTAGGACAAGAGTTAGGGAGGCTTAGGGCACACCTGTGTGACCTCTGTACCAATCGGTACAGAATTGCCTTGCTGTTTTACCCACCAGTGTGGCTCTAATTGTCCAGGTGAATGTCCACCATGCCCAGGTGAAGAGACACAGACCTAAGGGATGGGCGAGGTGTTGGGGGACAAGGGATGCCCCAGACCCTCCCTGCACTGACGGCTGCCCCCTCTCTCCTCTTAGCCCGGCTCCAGTGCCCAGACCCAAGCCCCCCACTGCTCAATGGACACCCCCAGCCCAGACCCGTTGCCTTCGCCTTTGCCGGGGGAGGAAGAGAAACCTCTGGCTTTACCTCCTCCTGTTCCCCGGGGACGCCGAGGCCGGCGTCCCGGGGGGGCCACCTCCTCGAATCGGACACTCAAGGCCACCCTCCCTCGCAAGCGGGGCCGCCCCACCAAGTCAGGGCAGGAGCCCCCGCTGGCACAGGGGGTGACAGCCCCTGTGGGCGGCGGCAGTGGCAGCGACCTCCTGTTGATCGATGATCAGGGTGTGCCCTATACGGTCTCTGAGGGGTCAGCGGCAGGTTTGCCTGGGGGCTCTGGCCCTAAGAAGGCCCCGCACTTCTGCCCTGTGTGCCTGCGGGCCTTCCCTTACCTCTCCGACCTGGAGCGCCACAGCATCTCACACTCAGAGCTAAAGCCCCATGAGTGCAAGGATTGCGGCAAGACCTTCAAGCGGTCCAGCCACCTGCGGCGGCACTGCAACATCCATGCCGGCCTCCGGCCCTTCCGCTGCCCTCTCTGCCCTCGCCGCTTCCGCGAGGCAGGCGAGCTGGCCCACCACCACCGTGTCCACTCTGGGGAACGCCCTTACCAGTGCCCTGTCTGCCGGCTGCGCTTCACGGAGGCCAACACGCTCCGGCGCCATGCCAAACGCAAGCACCCTGAAGCCATGGGGGTGCCCCTGTGTTCCCCAGACGCAGGGCCTGAACCACCGTGGGACGACGAGGGCATTCCAGCTACGGCAGGGGCCGAGGAGGAGGTGGAGGAGCCGGAGGGGAAAGAGCTGGCTTGACCCACACCCTGGGCCACCGCTACCGGGGTCACATGTAGAGCTGGGGTCTCGGCTGGTGCTGAGCCTGGGCAGGAAAGCTGGGACACCCTCAAACCTGGTGGTCTTCCCGTTGTGGGAGGGGGTCGAGGGTGAGGACCTAAACTCCTGGGTCCTGCTGCCTTCTGCCACCCTCCCCGGGACTGACAGGCCCCTGGGGGCAGGGACCTTGGAAATAAATCTCTGCCTACTGGCTTCTGTGTGTAATCAGTGTCGGTACCAGGGCTGGTCCTTCCTTCAGATGCCTTCCCTTCCCTATGCCACCCTGAGGGGAGTGCATGGAATTTGGGAGAACCCATGTCATGTGCCTTGTTACAACGCTTGGCGCTGAGGGCGGTCTTGGAGGAAGTCTTTGTCCCTTCTCTCGTCTCCAGCTGACCTCAAAGGACTCCCTGTAAATATCGGCTCTGAGTAAAACACTGCCCCTCTGTGCAAACGTGACTTTAGGTCCTCATCCCCCATTCCAGCCAGATTCTTGGAAATCCTGCACCCACTACCGTGCCCCATCTCTTTGTCCTGACACAGTAAGGAAATACGGAGTTGAGGGCTGTGGGCAGACCCTACGACTTTGGTAAGGCTGGGGGCGGGGCTAAGGAAGCAGGAGGCAGGGTTGGGACCGAGGGGAAGGCAGTATGTGAGGGTTGTAGGCGGAGCTTAGGGGAAGGTGCGGAGAACTAGGGTGGGGCTCGGATTGCTTTAGGGGTTGGCAGGCAGAAGGTGCGAGCGACTTAGAAGGAATGAGTCGGGTTTATTAGGAGGAGAGGAGAGGTTGAAGGGGAAACTTCAGGAGAGCAAGGTGTTAGGAGAGGCGGGAGCTGAGAGATGGTCATGACTTACTCAGGCCTAGGGGAGCGAAAGGGCGTACCTAAGAAGGGAGTAAGGAAGGGAAACCCCGGAGACTGAGGGGCTTAGGGGGAAGGGGCGAGGCTGGCGCGGGGGGCTTGGTGCAGCCTAAAGACCTCTGAAAGGCTGGTTTAGAAGAAAGAGCTGAGGCTGAGGAGGGAGAGGTGGAGCCCTCGGGGACCCGCAGGTCGGGAAGAGCAGGAGAAGCAATGGGCGCGGGGGCGAGGAGGTTGGATTTTTGAGGCAGTGGGTGGGGCTTAAGTAATTAAGCCAGAAAATGGGCGTGGCTCGGCCCATGCCGAGGGGCGTGTCCTCACCGGACGTCCGGAGCGTGTGGGCGGTGCCCTAGGCGGCAGACTCTCAGGGCGCACGCGCACGTTGCTAAACTCGGCTACCGGAAGCGGCCTAGGCTATCCCCGTCCGCGTCCCCGAGCTAGTGCGCAGGCGCAGTTCCCCGTCCCGGTCGCCGCCACCGCCCCCTCTTTCCGCTCCTCCACGCCGGCGCCTCGGAGACGGGCGCGACTTCCGCTTCCGGGCGGGCGGGCAGGCGGGCGGCGCGGGGCTGCCGGGGAGGGGGAGGGGGCGGCACTTCCGGTCGGGCCCTCGGGTCTCCCCGGAGCGGCGGCGCCTCCTCCGCCTCCTCGGCCTCCTCCCGGCGGAGACCCCTGCGCCGGTGAGTGACGGGGCGCGTGGCCCGGGGGCCCGGGGGCAACGGGGGCGGGGGGTCCCGCCCTGGCCCGCTCTGGTGCGCAGAACGTCCCCGTCCGTGCCTCTCCCGCCGGGCCCTCGCCAGGGGTCCCCAGTCACTGGTCGCCCGTGAGACCTCTCCAGACATTTGCCCCATTAACGCCCCCACGCAGGACGGCTGCCACAGCGCCCTCGTTTGCGGCGAGCCCCGAAACTGCTGCCATGGCCCCCACTAATGCTTTCTCAGAGGCTCGCCTGTGCATAACCCCCCGTCGTTGCTTCCTGCAGGACAGCCCCCCGAACGCCCCAGCACTGCTCTCCCACCCTCCGTTAGTAGCCCCCACCGGCTGCCTCCAGAGGGTTGCGCTAGTGCTGTGCTGCGGGACTGCCCGATCTCTGTGCACACACCACAGCCCCCGCGTCCTGCACCCCCCGCCCGCCCCCTCCTCGTGTAAAAATACTTTCTGTTCTGGTCTGCAGCCCAGAATGCCTTTTTGTCCTTGTGCAGCCCCCCGCCACCCGCCGTAGGTCTTGAGAATACCCCTTGCCATCGCCCCGCGCCCCCCGCCCTCCAAAGAACAGCTCCCGGTAGAGTTTTGCTCTCACACCCACATCCTCTCCCCCTTCAGGTAGAAATCGCTGCGGGTTGGGCCCCAGGCTCCGATGAAATGCTTGTGCCCCGCCTCCCTCCCCTCCCCCACCTGGGGCAGCCCTTGATCTCACAGAACAGTGCCCCACACTGAGGCTCTCCCTCAGGCTGCACCTCTTTCGCTGGCCCTGGCGACTCTCCGCCTGCCACTTCTTGCCCAGCTCCATTTCATCTTCCTGGACACCTAGAGGAGACCCCCAGCCTCCCTGTGGCCTGACCTGTTCTACCTAGGCATTGATTGATTGATTCATACATGAATTCAGAGTTGCAGGTACAGGGCATACAGAGGTGAAGGAGAGAGATACAGTCATTCATTTTGTGGGTTTACAGTTTGAGGGGAGGGTTCAAGAACGAGTGAATCAGAGAAATGCTGTTTTCTGGGTTCTCCCAGAGCCCAATGGGCTGCTTCAGAGGTGAAACCTGAATTAGCAGAGGTGACTTAGCTATGTAAAGATCTGGATGGACTGTTTCAGGTAGCCAGAATAGCAAGTGCAAAGGCCCTGAGGTGGCTGGGATCATGGTGAGTGGAAGAGCACCAGGTGAGGCCGGTGAGGTTGGAGCAGAGAAACTGAAGAGAAGGACGAGGAGAGAGAGGGTGTGATCTCACCTGGCCTTGGGGGTAAGGGCGTTGTGATCAATTATCTGGCCTTTGTCATCTCCACCAAGCCCAAATTGGTCTTCATTTGTTCATTCATTCATTTGTTCCACAAGTGTTTGATGAGGACCTCTTACACTCTGGTGCAACAGAATGGCTAGGGACGCAGTAGAGAACAAAATAGACAAAAATTCCTGCCCTCGTGGAGTGCCTATGCTAGTTCATGGGACAATTAAAAAACAAAATACCTGTGTGAAGAAAATGTAGCAGACAGGGTATAGTTGCAGGGGAGAGGGCAAGAAGGCCTCCTTCAAAAGATTCCTATGGTCATCCTGTTGCTTCAAAATGCCACACACCAAAAAGTTACAGCTGTGTGTGAACCCCGTTCCTCCTGGACAACTGCGGCCAAGTGGGGGCTGCTCTTTCCAGCTCCCCCCAAGAGTGAAGTGGTTGGGGGGGTGAGTCCTGCGTTCCTCCAGTGCTCACATATCTGGACAAACCACGTCCTCTTTTACGAGCCCCATTCATTCACTTAGTTCACATATATTTTCAGAGACTGACATTGTTCTCGGTCCTGGGAGCCCACCTTCTCCAGGGGAAGGCCGACAACAAGAAAAGCAGAATATCTAGTTTATTAGGTGATGCTGACAGGGAAAGACAGAAATGCAGCAGGCTGGGAAGAGCAGGAATGTTGGTCTGAATGACAGGTTATAGTGGTCATGGAGAGCCTCACCAAGGAGACAGCATTTGAACAGAGACGTGGAGGAGGTGAGGGGGAGAGAGAGAGGTGTATAAATAACAATCAGAGTATTCCAGGTGGAAGCAACAGCCTGTGCAAGGGCCCTGGGGCAGGAATGTTGGCACATTGGAGGAGCAGCCAGGTGGCTGTGGAGTCTATGCAGGTCATAAAGACTTTGACTTTGAGTGAGATGGGTGTCACTGCAGGGTCTGAGCAGGGGAGGGACAGGTTTGGCTTTAGTCCTCCTGTCTATTAAATGAGTAATAGCAGTGCTTATGAACCTGTTACAAAGTCTCAGACAAGAGCCATAAGGCACCTAGTAACAGTGCCTGTTGGTGTTCTGTAAATGCTGGTGGCTAGTTCTGGGGCCAGGTGGCACGGCAGTGGGGTGGTCTATTTCTAGTATAAGGCGGAGTGGGGGCCTTCCCTTGTTTCGGAGAGCCAACAGTGAAGGACGGCATGCTGTCGTGGGCAACACTCTCAAACCCCATTCCTTCAGTTCCTGGCTCTGCTACAGCCTGTTACTGGGGTGACCTCAAGGGATTCATTGACCTCTGTAGCCCTCAGTCTCTTATTCTGTGAATCAGAGTTAATAACGGTAACCATGCTCTTGAGTTATCAGGAAGACTCACTGAGTCAACACACGTAAAGGGTTTAGAACAGCTTGGCCCACGGAAAGCACTTCACGTTCCTTGTCATTCTATGTCACTGCTACTGTTATTAACAGGCTAGACTTCACCACAAGTCAACGCTGGTGCAACAGAATGGCCCACAGGTCCTGGTATCAGAGAGACCTGGAATCCGATATGTGCTCTCCCCTTTACTGGTTGCATGACCTTGGGGAAATGACCCCCTGCACCCCCCTGCCAGTTTCCCCACTTCGAAAGTGGCCCCAGCAGCAGTGCAGGACCACTGTGAGGCCTCGGGGTGATGCTACAGCTCAGACCAGTTGAACAGTAAACATAGCCGTCCTGATTAGGACTGTGGGGGCTCCCCCCGGCCCCCAGTCATGCCGCTCTCCACACAAAACCCTCCCATGACTCTCCGCTCCTTAGACACTAATTGAGGGCTTGGAGAGGAAACGCCTCCTGTTGCCCAGTGGAAATACGGTGAGCCTGAGTGGTTCTGCCCCCCAGTACTACTCCCTGTTCCCCACAGCCACCACTCTTGGGCATTTTTCCACTGGCCCTTGGGTCGGATGCTCCTTAGAACATCCCTGCCCTTCGAATTCCCTCTCTGGGGACCCCCCCACCATGCCACCTCCATCTCTGCTAACTGCCCCCTCCCTTTCTCAGGGAGTTCTAGGCAGCGCAGTCTCCTCCCTTTGCTTACTCAACAGGCGTTTTCGGATAGATGCTAGCAGTTTACCTCTGAGCTCTGCTTTAGCTGCATCTTCACGAAGTTTTGGTAGGTTGTGTTTTCATTTCTACTCCCCTGGGGTTCCCTGAGATTTCTCTGTGGAACCACTGGTGACTTCAGAGGGTGTGTTTAGTTCCCATATATCGGCAAATACTTACCAAGCAACCACGCCGTGCTGGGTGCTATGCTCGGTGCTGGGGGGCCACAGCGGCGAACAAGACGGGCCAAATCCCCATCCTCTTCGGTAAACATGAGGGGAAGGAAGTATACTCAGCAGGTCACAGCAGGGACAGTGCTGGAAAGTGCTGCAAGATGCAGCGTTAGGGAGGACAGGGTGGGCGTGACATCTGAGCAGAGGCCCGAAGCAGACAGGCACAGGTCGGAACCTTGAGATCTGGGGGACAGTCTCCTCACATCGCTGCTCCATCTGTTCGAGACGGTGACCCCCTTCCCCTCCCTCCCAGCCCCTGGCATAACCTCTCATAACCTAGAGAACACCCCCAAATACGGCTCCTGCCCCTACAGCTGCACCCCACCTTTGTCCACCTTAGCAACCTGGAAAAACAATCCTGTGGGGGGAAGGGGTGGGTCGAGCCTCGGGCTTGCTCTGTGACCTTGGGCAAGTCACTTGACTTGTCTGTGCTTTGGGGATATTTCACTATCGAATTCATTATCGAATGGGGAGAACAGTAGTTCCTATGTCATAGTCTCACAGGTTTGTGGGGATTGAGTTAGCATGTGTAGTGGGCTTGGAACACATTGGACCTATAGGAAATGCCCAGGAAACATTGGCTCTTAATAGTATGTACTCTGGGGGAGGTGAGCTGAGGCGGTGGCTTCTTTCCTAAGACACTTGGCTCCCCACCCCCTCCATTCTACCGCGTGCTGCTCTGTGCCCACCCGGACCACCTAGCCTGGTCTCCCGGATTTAGGTGTCACCCACAGGCCTCCACTACCACTCCAGCCTTTGCCTTTGTTCCTTCTGGAGATCAGATGAACTAGAGGGGGTGTGAAGGGCATGGGCTGTTGAGTCTCGTCCAAGGACACCCAGAGCTAGATGCTAAAAATATCGGCCTCTTGGCGAGGGGAGTGGAGGAGACACTCACCTTTCACCTGTGGGGGGAGAGAGCCAGCTGGATGGATGGGAGCCGATGGGCCCTGGCCGTGGTAGTCGCCACGGACCCCTTCTGTGGGCTGGGCACAGAGCCAGGCCCTCAGCGGCCAGGGATTATGGCCACGAAGCATGCCACACTGGGGGTCCTTCTCTCCACTGGGTCTGCACCGACTTGGTGGAGGCGTTCCCCAGCCCCTGCGTGGCTCAGGTTCAAAATTAATCGAAGGAGCTGAGGTTCAGGTGTGAGTAGGGGATGCAGACAGGGACAGCTGCCTGGAATGAATAGTACGGTAGAGGAGGTGCCCAGAGAGTGGCTGCCATGGCAGGGGAGGCAAGGACGCTCCCCGCCCCTGTGGGGGGTGAGGACAGGAACTCGCTCCTCCCAGGTGTGTGATGGTCTGAAGGTACAGCTAGTTCTGGGGACTGAAAGCTAAGTGTTTCCTTATGTCCTAGGTGAGCTCCCTTGAGTCCCTGACAGCCTCAGGGGTTGCCGCCCCTTTTGGAAATGGAGAAAGTGTGGATGGGGAAGGAGTGGGCCTTGAATGCGGGTCTGCCCAGGGGCAGGGCGCGTGTATTTTCCGCTGTGTCAGGCTGCCTTCCCTCTCACTGTTTGTCCTCCTGCCTAACTTGTTTCCTCCAGGCAAACACATTCTACGGCCCACCTTGTAGTAAAAGAACAGGCCCCCAACACTGATTTCATTCCCGTTGTCTTGGTTTGTTGGGACTTTCTGTCACCACTAGCGGCAGCCAGAGTGGTCTCTGTAGAATGCCTTCCACTTTCCCAGGGCCCGCATGGTGCCCGGAACCTCCGCCCGAAGGCCATGCCTGGGTGTGCTGGTTGGATGCCCCCATCAGCCTTGGGACGGAGGGATGTACTTTGTCACCTCTCATTTGTAGGTGAGGAAAGCCAGGCACAGAGGGGTTCGGACACTTGCCTGTGGTCACCCAGCTACGGTGTGGTGGGGCTCAGAGTGGGCCTCGCATTCTGGCTCCAGAGTCCACCCTCTTTTATTATCATTTTATAGAATCAGAACTTGAGGGGATTGAGGGCAGGGCTCATGTGTGTGTTTTGGAGAGGAGGATAGGGCACAGTGCTGAGGCCGGAGAGTTTGCCCGGGGTCTGTGACCAGAGGCCAGGGATGCCGGGAGAATGAAATTGGGGGTGGGGAGCTGAGGGTCTGCAGGGAGCCCTGGGGATGGGGCCGGGGACAGGTAGAAAGAATGTGTGAAGACCTAAGAAACAAGGGGAAAATGGAAGAGATGGGAGAGGAGGAGCAAAGAGGAAACAGAAAGGAGGCGGCTGCCGCAGCTGCAGAGGAGCCCACCTTGTTGGGGTGTAGGGACAGGGCAAGAGAGGGGCAAGGCTGGAAGATGGAGTGCGGCCGGCACTTGGCCACGTGAGGACGCGGCGCGGGCGCCCAGACCTGTTTGCTCAGCCCCATCCTCTTCTCCGCAGGGTCTCCCGTCGCCCACCCCGCCCAAGATGGAGGCAAACGCAGCAGGCAGTGCCGCCGGGGGTGGTGGGGGCAGCGGCATAGGGGGCGAGGATGGGGTTCACTTCCAGAGCTACCCCTTCGACTTTCTGGAGTTCCTCAACCACCAGCGCTTTGAGCCCATGGAGCTCTACGGGGAGCACGCGAAGGCGGTGGCCGCACTGCCGTGCGCCCCGGGGCCGCCGCCCCAGCCCCCACCCCAGCCCCCTCCGCCCCAGTACGACTACCCGCCCCAGTCCACCTTCAAACCCAAGGCGGAGGCGCCGTCTTCATCGTCATCCTCGTCCTCGTCGTCGTCCTCGTCGTCTTCCTCCTCTTCCTCCCAGGCCAAGAAGCCCGACCCGCCCCTGCCACCTGCCTTCGGGCCCCCGCCGCCCCCCCTATTTGATGCTGCCTTCCCCGCTCCACAGTGGGGCATCGTCGACCTCTCTGGACACCAGCACCTTTTTGGGAACCTGAAACGCGGAGGGCCCGCCTCCGGGCCGGGGGTGACGCCAGGGCTGGCGACCCCCACCGGCACGCCGGGGCCTCTTCCCGCCCCCTCCCAGACCCCGCCGGGACCTGCCGCGGGGGCGGCCTGCGACCCGAGCAAGGACGACAAGGGCTACTTCCGCAGGCTCAAGTACCTGATGGAGCGGCGCTTCCCGTGCGGCGTGTGCCAGAAGTCCTTCAAGCAGTCCTCGCACCTGGTCCAGCACATGCTGGTGCACTCGGGGGAGCGGCCGTACGAGTGCGGCGTCTGCGGCCGCACCTACAACCACGTCTCCAGCCTCATCCGCCACCGCCGCTGCCACAAGGACGTGCCGCCCACCGCCGGGGGCCCGCCGCAGCCGGGGGCGCCGCTCCCGCCGCTGGGCCTGCCCGCGCCCGTGGCCGGCGCGCCCCCCACCGCCGCCCCCAGCCCGGTGTCCTCCG